CCCCCCTCAGGGGGAAGTGATCAACGAGCAGGCCAATCAGATTATGTCAGAGGCAGTCCCTCTTCCCATTACTATGGAACCCACTTGGACACTGAACTGCCATGGGCTACACCTGTGCAGGGGTTCCAGGTCATCTCCACGAATAGTCCTTGGTTGGAGTATGAGTCTCTGGGAAGTTCCCTGTGTTCAAATTATCTTGTTCTGTTGTTCTGCTTGTGGAGTCACTCTTAACTGGCAAAATGAGATGTGATGTGTATTGTTGGAAGACCTGAATGTAGAAAGTCATATGCAAATCTTGGTTATTGTTGTGGTTTGATTTTATAAGATGTTCCAATCTTTTAACACTGCTCCATATGTCTTAAAAAGGAAAAATGACAAGAAGGTCTACCTTAAAGACTGACTGTGACTTTTTAAATGAACTGATTAGAAGAAAAAAAAAAAAAAAAAAACACTTTTACCCCATAACATTTAGGGTAAAATAAGAAAATGTTCATTTTAGATTGTATGTTTGCAAAGAAACAGACCTTCGTACTGATGTTCATCACGCAGCTTAGTGAACCAGAAAGATGTTTGTTGATATATATAAAAATGTTCACAAATTAACGTAACAAAAGGTGGGAGTCCTCTATCAGTAATATGCTAGTTTTTTTCTGTAATATGAAAATTTACCCTGAAAGTTATTATAGATTACTTTGTTCTTTGGCAGGATTTTAAGATAAAAAATGAAGTTGCCATCTTCATCATTGACCATATCATCAGTAATAAAACATTTAAAGAGAATCTTAGCAAATGCCATAAAAACATAGACTAGAATACCTGATTTGACACAATTGAAAACACTTATTCAAAAATTGTGTTATAAAATCACACCGCTGTTTAACAAACATGCTACATGGAGAAAATCTTCTACATTTAATAAAATAATATTGAAACACCACATTTTAAATTGCAACTATGTTCAAATCAAAAATTAAAATTTGTCTGTTAATTTATTTACAGAATCAATACAGAAATTAGTTTGTTGAATAATATATCATAACAATAACAATACCTAGTAACATCACATTGATGAGTGCTCAGAATCATTCAGAATGATTTTTAAAACAGCTTCAAAATAACCTACTTCAAAATCAAGATATTAAATGCCAGCTTCTAACTAACAAAAATGCTTATGGCTAAGATAGAGTGAGCTTCCTTACAAAAATCCTGATACAGCCCTGGCTGTCGGCTCCAGGGTGTACAGCTATAATTCTTTTTCCAAATGTTACCCAGCAATGCCTTAGGTACAGGAATTTACAGAATATATTAGCAGTTAGCAGCAATCCTGCAGCTTTCATAAAATCCAGACCTGTGACATGTTTATATTCATATTTAATTGCTACCACTAGATAACTAGATCATTCATTGTGTATTAATTAACTACTTAATATCTAAATGTTGGACACTGCATTATAAAATCCATATTGATACATCATATTGTACATGACAAACCCAGTGTTTCTTAATTCATGTTATTGCAAGAGTTACACATTTTATGCTACAGTGTAACCTGACCACTTATCAGAAAGAAAGAAAGAAAGAAAGAAAGAAAGAAAGAAAGAAAGAAAGAAAGAAAGAAAGAAGAAAGAAAGAAGAGAAAATTATTGAGGAAACAACACAGAAAACAGAGATTAAGCAAGACTTTCTTTTTGGTTTGAAATCTATTAACAACATACTAAATTGCCAGAATGAATCAGTTTTGTATGTGAAAAGTACTTAAGTCTGGATCAGGTAGCACCATCTCAGAACAGTCCAGAGAGACACAACTTTTATTGGGGTACAAGGGCCCATTTTTTAAATATCAAACTAATGATGTTTATAAGGAGAGTTGAAAGTCAGGGTCCCTCTAAATTTTAGGCTTGATATTATTCTTTTCTTCTGCAGTCATATGGACAACAGGTGACTATTGATCCCAGACTGGAAAATGACATCTTGATGTTTATTGATCAAACTGTATGAGGGAAACTGTGATGGATAAATGGAAGACAGCGATGAGTTATCACTTCTGGATAATAAAAAAGACAGAGTAAGACAATCACACTAAATAAATATTACAATTAAAAAATTCATTAAGGTAAGCAAAAGTACACCTAATAAATGTGAGAAGAGGTGATATTCCATAATGAAGATGAACACAAAAATATTTTCTTTTAAGTATTCTGATTTATAAGACTCTAAAAGTTATAATGTAATGAACAGAAAAACAATTCAGAATAACACAAATTTTAAAATCATTGTTAGATTTCACATTAAAGTAGATTTAATTATTTATTTAAATTCAAATGCAGTATTATTACCAGGCTGCATTTTACTGAAAATTAAAATCACTGTTATAATGAGTCCAGAATTATCTAGCAAATCTGTAAGAATCTTACATCTGATGAAGTCATATCATGAAATAACAGTCATTTTGTTATACTATTTATTAATTCCATATGCTAATTTTCTTCATGAAGTGATAGAAAAGAAACGTTGTACTGAATAAGACTATCAAGAAAAGAATACATGTAAAATGAGTATTCAGATTGTACATGTCCCTAGTAATCCCATTAATTAGGTGTAATAATATGTTAAAAAGACTGACTATAGACCATGAAAACTGTGCAAAGGTATAACTAGCATACACATTTTTTTCCATAGGCTGCCTGCAACATTTATCAACTCAGCTTATTTTCTCTTTAAAAAAAATCTCATAAAATAAGTGAAAAGTCCTAGTATTTGAGAAATAGTGCTGTTGGATAGTTATTTAAACCCAACTTTCTACAACTGTTTTCTGATTAAGCAGAAAATTTTAATTTAATTAACTGTCAATATGCCCAAAGAAATGCAATATTCACACTTAAAATATTCTTAGAGAATATTGTTTAGGCTGCCAGTGAAATTAAAAAAAAATCTAATTCTAAGTCTATCCCACAAATCTTACATATCTCTGAATAAAATTTCTATAGTATCTCTCTCTATAAATATATGTCTGATACGCAGGTGGGCACGCACCCTGCTTCCGACATAGGGCTTTTGAGTAATATGGTTCCTACAAAATAAAAACGACTTTTTTTCAAATCTAATTACTTTTTAAATCTGTTTGCTCTTAGGATTTAATTAAGAAGTTCAACATCAGCTGAGAATAACACAACTGTGAACCATCCAAGCAGCAAATTATAGATTTTGTGAAATCTGCTGGGCGGTGTGTAAGTAGGACAGGTAGATACTGTAGATCTACCCCGCTCACCTGCTCTGCTTCCCTTTTATATCACTCTTGGTTTGCATAAGGCTGGGAAGAGCTCTGAGGACGTATGCAGTGTAAATGGCCTCTTATTGTCCTGGAAGATGGCAACTAAGTCTGTGTGCTTATCACTGGGCTGCAGCTTCCCAGTCACTTTCCATGATAAGGTGCTTCGAAAAACATTACAACCCCAGTACAATCCAAAAGCCAATTAGGATTTGGCATAGCTTCCTAAAAAACTAATCAATCAACCAATGCTGTAATATTAGAATCCAGCTCTTACTGAATATATCTAATCTTCTCCGTATGTATTTCCCATTCGCTGGTGGAGGAGGGGGAATATAACATTTCTAGTGCTGGGACTGATGGAACTTTCCCGATGGCATCCCTAAATGCATTTCCTCATCTTTGGGGACCTAAATGGTGCTTATGGAACACATACACAATCTGTGATCACTGACTGTAAAATTAACCAGCCAAGATTCATGAGGCTGTGCTGAGGACTCCACTTAAGCAGCCCATTTTCCCAGGCTTTTCCTTTTGCACCTGCTGTTGGGTTGGATCACTTTCACTGGAATTCAGGCTGATTTTTTTAAAGCACATGAGACTAAAGATCATAGGCATACATCCTGTATACATTATACAGTGTCGGCTCATTCAAAGACAGTCAGCCATACCACACTCTCTCTTGATGCCATCAACAATTTTCTCATTCAGTGCTGTGCAGTTGAATTAAGTCTCTGCTTAAATCTCTTCACTTTTGGAGTCCATTCTACCCTCAACACTTGCAAAGTACCTACCTCTATAATATCTTGCTTTTTATTTTTTTTTCATTAGTTACTTGGTCTTTTCTCTAAAAGGACACACTTGGAAATGTTGCCCTTGTTTTTAACAATCCATGGTAAGCAGATAAATCTAAAGTGTCAGGACTAAATAAGCCCTTTAATCAAGAAAAGGCCAGTCACTTTTTAAAGGTTTTACTTTAGGTCCACCTTAACCACAATTAACGAGGAAAACATTAAGTATACACTTCTTCCGGAAATCTAGGGAGTCCTGAATGGCAGCCTTAGTATCCCTATTGCGCCCTGAACCATCTTTTAACATCTTACGTTTTGCTGTGCTGCCACAGCGGTTCTGGAACCGCGGATCGGGTTGGCTACTGATTACACGAAGTTGGCCATCAAAGTTATGTCTTTTGTCTCTAGTTGTTAGAAACCCTATTTCAGTTCTCATCGCCAGATAGAACAGAGAATGAAATCCAAGTTACCCCAAATACCCCTGCTTTGGAAGAAGTGCGAGCGGGCACCTGAGCAAAACTGAGTCGCCAAGCCTCTGTCTCGGCTGCAGGAAGGTCTTTCAATCCACCCGGGTCATGTCCATCAGCTCTGGTCCTCACCGAGCGCCTAGATGTCTCTTCCTTGCACTTCTTTTCTAGGTACTTGGCTTCCTACTTTACGAGACAGTACATTCCAACCCTCACTAAGCCCTTCCACTCCTCTCTCTCTCTCTCCTCCCTTTCCACTCTTTTCTCTCTCAAAGTGCCTTCCTTCCCAATCAAGAGTAAGGCAATGCAAACTCCCGTCACAGCCTGAGCTTCTTGGGAGCAGCTCAGCTCCCAAATACCTTACGGAGGAGGATTTCCCGCCGAAATGTAGCCCTGTACCGCACCGCAGACCGTGCACTCACCAGCTGCAGCAAGCCAGGGACCACGATGAGAGGCAGCGGCCACAAGCGCATGGTGCCAGCTGGCTCAGGCTCAGGAGCTGAGCTCCCTCAGCAACCCCTCCTGCATCGCCACTTCCCGCTGAGGGTTAAGGACGCTGGGAAACCAAGGAAAGGTGGGCAGAGAGGCCAGCAGAAGAGACCGGCGGAAGGTTGGGTCCCCGCGCTCAGTGCCTCTTAGGAGTGAAAGGAAAGCCACCTAGCTGCAGGGCTCCAGTACGCTTTCTCTGATGCTCAGTGCTTCTAAGGTGAGCGGCTGGTGGCCTAAGGATTTGGGTTCCGGAGAACCAAGGTGGCGACTGCACTGGACCCGGGATAACCAGAGGCTGTCGCTCAGCAGCTGGGCGCAGAGCTCTGCACAGACCGAAGCGCGCCCCGCCCAGCATAGGGGCTGTTAGCCATACCTAGTGCTGGGCTAAGAGTCACTGGAGTGGCTAGAGTGACTCTGGCACTGGACAAGGGAGGCAGAAGGATACAAGAATGCTCAGTGACAGCTTTCGGGAAATTTGTGAAGAAGGTTTCTCAGAGTCCTGGGGAGGCGCCAGGGCTGAGGCATGGGGAGTGGGAGGTGGGAAGTGGGCTGAGCCAGTCTCAGGAGTACACCTACCTAGCTGGATTGGGGTTTTGCAAGTAACATGTTGCTGAAAGGGCTAGAGGGATTTTTGGAGTTGGGGACTTGTGGGAAACTCTGGAGGAGCTCTAACCGTGCCAGTGGCAGAACAGTGAATAAAAGAGCTAAGGATGTTTGGGAATGATGTGGAAGGAGTTTAGGAGTCCAACAGAACTGTGACCAGTGACACTGTAACAACCTGCCCCAGAGCTTAGGGAGAGAAGAAAGAAAAGAGGAAAACCACAGCCTTATAGAAAGCAACCTTGGAGGCCAGGCAAGGACCGCAACTCTGAGTCTCAGCCTCTGTGTTTGCACGTTTCCTTTGAGGGCTCTTAACCTTTAAAATTGAGTGGAAAATTAAAAGCACAGTGGTCAATGGGTGGAAGTCTAAGTACGACCCATGATTATCTGTTATTGAACATACAGAAAACCTAAGAGGAAGAGAGGTCAAACATCCAGATCAGTTGGAATCCTGACATCTAGAGACAAATAGCTCTTACAAAAGGAAGCTGTAGATGTAAAGAAGTAGAGCTGCAACTGACAGCCAAGCCCTAAAAAACAAAATTCAACAAAAAGAGCAGTTTGGGTTGTAATTTGCGGCGGGGGGGGGGGAATAAAGTTGAATTCCTAGCATTCTGAATTCAAAAACAGAAATAAAGGTGGTTTGTGAATTCCTTTAGCAGTCTGGGACCAAGCTACCAAGCTAGAGGTAAAGCAGCCTTGGTTCCAGAATGCTAAGGCAAGAGCACTGATAAGAAGAGGGCCAAGTCCTGCCCAGTGTGCTGAGACTGTGCATAAGAGAAAGGGCATTATTCCAGAGAGCTGTGCAGTTTCACTGTGATTTGGAAAGCATGTTGTTCCTGAAGCTATGGAGAAAGTGTCTCTTCATACAATTTAATTCCTTTGTAGAGAAAGACAGAGGTAAGCATGGGCCATGTATCTTTTCTTATTATTTGCCAAGACTGATTTTGGTGTTCTCGGGCCCTTGTAGGAAATGACACAGCTGTGCCTGGCTTTAGATTTTCTTTGGAAGACAAACAATATCACTATTCCATTGCTACCCATCACAAAATTTTTCTTACCAATTATTCTACAGCTTAATTTCACCTTTTCATGTCTCTCTCTCTATCTATCTATCTATCTATCTATCTCTCTCTCTCTCTCTCTCTCTCTCTCTCTGTGTGTGTGGGGGGGGGTGTGTTGCTGAACTTGAGGCCTCTCACATGCTAGGCTCTCTCCGTACCACTAAGCTGTATCGCTAGCCCTAGAAAGTTATTCTAACCTAGAAGAATAAATAAGATAATTTTTAAAATTGAAAGAGATTCTAATTCTTGGCTCTGAGTTTTATTTTATTTATAAACAACTCTATAAAAGGTAAAGGATTTAATGGAACTGATTGGACAAAAATAGATAAACTCCTTTTTGAAGAGATGAAGATTCAAGGGTAGGAAGACAAAACATTAGCCAGATACAGCCCCCTTTCGGAGTCATTCATTGTCTGCCTGAATCTGCTGATTCACCTGGAAAGTAAAAGTGAGATCCCTTCATTTGTTTGTTTGTTTTTGTTTGTTTGTTTGTTTGTTTGTTTTCCAGAGAGGGTTTCTCTGTGTAACAGTCCTGGCTCTTGCTTTGTGAACCAAGCTGGCCTTGAACTCACAGAGATACACCAACCTTTTCCTCCCTGGTGCTGGGACTGAAGGCATGTGCCACCACACCTGGCTTAAACTGTTTGTAAGGAAACAACCTTACCACAAACTGTTTGTAAGGAAAATGTCTAAGACTTAAGCACATCAAAATGAGTAATAGTACACTCTCCTAACTTATTTACATTTCTTAGAATGCTTATATTGTTGTAGAAAACCTTCTAAGTCCAAATTTAAAAGTAGAATATATAGTTTGATACATGTTTTCAAACTACGTGTTCTCACAAAAATGTGTTGGGGTGGGAGTTGAATTCCAAACTAGCATGTATAGGACATAAGATAAGTGTGGGAAAAAAAAAAACGAAGTTTGTGCTATTAATTTTAATATTAATTCTAATATTTCCATGTTTATTTATAAAGTGACTATTAATTATTTCCTAGATTTCCCAAATTTACTTTATGAGAAAAATTTAAAAAAAAAAACAGGAAGAAAGAAATGGGATGGGGGTGAGAATGGAAAATAAGAAGAGAGGGGAAAAAAAGGAGAAAGGTAAAAAGGTAAAGTAATTTTTCACATTGTAGCTCTTCTTCAAAAGCCAATAGTTTTATCAAGACATATGCAATAAACAAAACATAGCAGTCGATACAGAAATAAAAAAGGAGCTGGTTAGCGTAGCTAGTGGAGGGAAAGATCATTGCAACACAAGTGCTTCACGGAATAGAAGAAACGTTACTTTGCTTAGCCTCCAACAATCACCAAGCTTAGTCTATATTAAGAAAAATGAGATAGGTAATTCCATATAGGGACAAGGGTGAAAAATGTGAGCAAAAGCAAAGTGAAATGACTTCAGAACGCTCACATGAGGCATAAAAAGAAGTGCTAAGAGAGTGGAAGAAATGTGTTGAGAAAAAAAAAACAAGAAGAAAATGTTTTGTAAGCTAGATAGTAGAAGTCTGGAATGCCAAGCTAAACAGTTTAGATATAATCTGCAGAGAGGCTCAAAACAAGATCAAGGGGCACAAAGATTTATGTAGTGGCAAGATGCAAAAATGCCTTGAAGAGAAGGAAGCTTTGAGTCATGTTAAATGGAAGCAAATACCAAAAAGATATGGGTGCACGAACCTTGTCTAGCAATGGTACATTGAGCTTAATGTTTGGGTATTTAAATTTTTTCCTGACAAATTAGAATATTTTTATAACCATTTTCTTTGTCTTATAATTAATTTAACAATTTGAGTATCACATCATTGAGTTATCATTTTAAGAATGTTTATCCCAGTTTAGGGAGAGTAAGAACAATATTTTTATATCAACTAGTAGCAGAAAACTGAGACAACCAAATTTTATCACCACATGATTCTAGTTGGTTCTTCTAAAAAACTTAATGTGAATGGATAAGCTCAAAGCTTTGAGATCAGGTTTGTCTACCTATGGCTTTTCTGGATGGTTAGGGTTTGTTTGCTTTCCGTACTTTTCTTCTGTACTTACTTTCTCATCATTAGTATCAATACCAGAAAATGACATAAAAATAATATGAAGGCTGGAATTTCAGAGTTGAAATGGATATTGGATATTATGCAACCTTCTTATTTAACTTTGCATTTAAGGAACAAACTGTAAAGGGTCATCTTATGAGACATGAGCAAATCTGCAACTTGCTTGAAGTCAGAGAGGTCCACATCCATGGCTCCATCTAATTAATCATTCTGCTTCAGGTATTAGTCAACTCTTTGGCAGCTATAAATGTAGTGAATGATTGAGCCTCTTGCTGATAAGAAATGTGGGGATGATCTATAGATGCTAAAAGCTATAGATTCTGTATCATTATCAGGAAAGAAGATTCCGCTTTACCAAGCCTGAAGCACTGATCTTGCAATAATTTTCAAAGAGTTGAGAGGTCAGAAGAATGACATGACTTATTGCTAATGTACAGCCTCAGATGAGTGAAGCCTGGGATTTAAGGAGAGAGTGTAACTTACCTCAAGGACAAAGAAATTTTCAAGGAGCCCCTGACTTCTTATGGTTTGGCAAAACCTGGTAGACTCCTTGGTACTATTCTTATCTAAAATCATTTTGAGTCTCATTATTCTTGGAGAATCCAATATTCTTCATTCACAGTTTAACAGAGTATAATGCTGGTGCTGTATTAAATAGTAACCCTGTTTGCACAACACAGTCATCGGGGCCTTTAAATGTCTCTGAGGATAAAATTAAGAATTGATGGTTTTACTCTATCAGAAACTTGGTTTTTTACTAGCCTCCCCCAGCTTCTTCCCACTTTTCCTTTTTTCTATCTTCTTTTTCACATCAAATTGGGGGTGGGAGGTTACACTGGAGCTTTAACAGAATATCATTAGAATCTGCTTACATCCTCAGTTCAAGAAAGCTTGTTAAGGAGAGAACTAGGCGATTTGTTGGATATATTAGGACATAAGTGGAAGAGTTAACAAGTTTCATGGTACGGCTGTGTTCAAGGCCCAAACACAATCTAAAATGTTCAGCAAAGTGAGGCTACGCCTGTTCTCCCTTTGGTGGCTACACTCTCTCCACTATCTGTTCTCATAGATGCTAAAGGGCACTAAGATGCTGCTTTCACAGTAGATGTAAATTGTTAACCTCCAAAGAGAAGCTAGAGGTGAAGGAAGGCCTGTGCAGGCAGGCTGTGCAAGGCTGGGACTCATTTGGACTTGCAAGGCAGTGCAGAAGTGTCTTGAGGAGATAACTAATGTGCGTCTTCACCAAACCAGACAGATGTTTATAA